ATATATCATCACAAACAGTTAGTGTTAAACATATATATCATCACAAACAGTTAGTGTTAATATATCATCACAAACAGTTAGTGTTAAACATATATATCATCACAAACAGTTAGTGTTAAACATATATATCATCACAAACAGTTAGTGTTAAACATATATATCATCACAAACAGTTAGTGTTAAACATATATATCATCACAAACAGTTAGTGTTAAACATATATATCATCACAAACAGTTAGTGTTAAACATATATATCATCACAAACAGTTAGTGTTAAACATATATATCATCACAAACAGTTAGTGTTAAACATATATATCATCACAAACAGTTAGTGTTAAACATATATATCATCACAAACAGTTAGTGTTAAACATATATATCATCACAAACAGTTAGTGTTAAACATATATATCATCACAAACAGTTAGTGTTAAACATATATATCATCACAAACAGTTAGTGTTAAACATATATATCATCACAAACAGTTAGTGTTAAACATATATATCATCACAAACAGTTAGTGATATATCTCTCATCACAATTACCATAATGAACTGAAAAACAAAAATAATATATGTTTGAAATAATAAAAACTAATTAAGAAAACGACAATCTAATGTTATACCACAACAAGGGACCACGTTTACATCCGTACCCTCATCCATTTTGTCATCACGGTCATTCATAAACATCCAGCTTTCACACATTCATTAAGAGTTTAATTAAAGGGTGTGTGTACTAAATATTAACTGCTGTGTATGTTTACAAAGTTCAAAGCTATATCAAAATCAGTTTTCTAATGCTCATTCACTGCACAGTAAAAGTGGCTTTTTTCTCACATTTAATTTTCTTCTTCTCTTATTTCACGGTGATGACGATTTTTATAATTTTACAATGAAAATTGTTTGAATATATAAAATTTTGAAAATTCTTAATAGGAAACTATCCACTTTTACATAAATCTTTTAGTGTTTAGTTTTCTCATATGCTTGTTGCAAGGTTAATATTTGTTACTAATATACAATGTATATACATAAATGTGAATACTGGTATATCCCCATCATAATAAATGGATATATCCTGATATCCCTGTCATAATAAAGTGAAACATCCCAATATCCATGTCATTATTAAGTGGTAAATCATGTTATCCCTGTCATAATAGGGTGGTATATCCTGATATCCCTTTCATACTAAAGTGGTATATCCCAATATCCCTGTCATAATACACTGGTTATATATACATCCCGATATCCCTGTCATACTAAAGTGATATTTCCTGATATCCCTGTCATACTAAAGTGGTATATCCCGATATCCCTGTCATACTAAATTGGCATATCCCGATATCCCTGTCATAATACACTCGTTATACATCCTGATATCCCTGTCCTAATAAAGTGGTATATCCCAATATCCCTGTCATACTAAAGTGGTATATCCCGATGTCCCTGTCATACTAAAGTGGTATATCCCGATATCCCTGTAATAATACACTTGTTATACATCCTGATATCCCTGTCATAATAAAGTGGTATATCCTGATATCCCTGTCATAATAAAGTGGTATATCCTGATATCCCTGTCATAATAAAGTGGTAATATAATAAATAATGTTTCAATGTCCACATCACAATACAGTGGTCAGTCAGGAAATCTACCTTAGAATATTCACATCACAATACAGTGGCCAGTCAGGAAATCTGCCTTAGAGAATTCACATCACAATACAGTGGCCAGTCAGGAAATCTGCCTTAGAATATTCACGTCACAATACAGTGGTCAGTCAGAAAATCTACCTTAGAATATTCACATCACAATACAGTGGCCAGTCAGGAAATCTGCCTTAGAGAATTCACATCACAATACAGTGGCCAGTCAGGAAATCTGCCTTAGAATATTTACAGCACAATCCAGTGGTCAGTCAGGAAATCTGCCTTAGAATATTCACATCACTATTATTTACCAAACCAATTTTCAAATATTTATGTGAAAAAAGTTATTTTTGTAGAAAAAACAATTCTACCACACATCACTGCACACCACACTGTAGAAGTCTTTTCTAGTTCACCTTACATTAACATGGTATAGATGTCATTATCTAAAGCCACTTAGATGTTAGTTCACTAATCAACACATTATTTATATCTACAAGCACATACCCATCTATAAGCTACAGCAATTTCTACAGGGGATTACTAAATAACAATCTTACCAGCACATATTTCCCGTAATCAAATCCTTTGGTTTCATAAGGAACATCCTCTTCATCAGCTGGTTGGGGAGTTGAACCACCATAGGCAGCCCTGGAAAATAGTGGTGATAATTATACTGAGGCAAATATAGACTGTAAAATGAACAGTTTATATAATTAACTGTCAACAGCTTCCACTACTTCAAGGTCCTCATTCTCTACTATATAGTAGCCTAGAAGTTGATGTTCATTTTCCTGTAACAGTTAACGTAACTCTGTCAACGACTAAAACATCAATCACACATCACAACACCAAAGACGAGGATTCCTTTCTGACACTTCACACTCACTTGGCCACCTCTGCAGAGAGGAAGGATTGTTCTGTGTCCTGTGTGTCCTTTGATGTGGTGACTGGATCCACATGTGGTGTTCCAGTCCCTGATCCCTCTACTGTGGCATCCACACTAGGCTGAGTGGTGACATTGTCAGAGTCTCGCTCAACTCTGTCAAATGTAATTCAGTATTATAATAAACAATTATTTATAATCCTCAAAAATTGCTGACAAAAGATGAGAATGCAAATTGCTGGCAGTTTTCCCACATCGTCCAAATTTGAAGCAGGCAAACTCAGAGACTAAGAGGATCCTTTACACCAAGCTTATTCATGACCACTCTTGTGATTCCCTGAGAAATAGTAGTCACAAAACTTGACATGCAAAATCAAAGATGACTACCTGGCAGCTATTCTGCTTTTCTGGTCAATCACAAATTAATGCATACATAACTATATACCAAGTTTAATGATGATGTATGAAGTAGTTTCTAAGAAGTTGTTTACAGACGGACTAAATGATGGATGGACATGATCCGGTATCAAGCACAAAGAGCAATTGTAGGCTTGAAAAATAAGGTTGGTACTTGTCACTTTAAAAGTGACTGTGAAAACAATATTGACTTACGTTGATTCCCCATCTTCCTTATTGACTGGCATACCAAAAGCTCTGACCGGTTCAGCTGTTTCTATCTCCACCGGTGGTACGATGGGTGCTTTGGGCGGTTCCTTAGGCTCAGGGGCAGGTAGAGCCAATATCTTAGGACCCTTGGGCGCTGTAGGTTCTGTGGTCTTCTCGCCCATCATCATGTTCGCTACAAACTTTAGTAATGTCCTGTAAAGGTATTTAAAAAGACAAATACAATTTTAGCTGAAGCTCTATTTCTAGCATATCCAGACTCCTTTGTTCATTAATATCACTTTAGATCAGTAGACAATCACAAAAGGATGTAAAATAACATACAGCAGAAATTTATTCTTACAGAAATGGTGCTTTAGCTGGAAATCACATTAAAATGTTCACAGCTGATTATTATGAGATGTATATGAGATGGTATAAGTGCTTTATTCAGATCTGTATTTGTAAGTGTATGACTCAATAGTTAAAACTGGTAGCTGTACAAACCATAGCCTGCTTATCTGATTCAGTCAGCATCAACCTAACTGCTCGTTATCATTATTGTACTTTGTCAAAAAGTTTGAACTTACCAAAACACATGGAAGAGGAATGTAAGGAGAGTGAAGACGATTTTGAAGTTGAGTTTGATGAAAGCCTTGAAGAGTTGCCAGTAGGACATAGTCCTGTACACCCTGTAACCGGACTTGAGGTTTGTCCAGGTGAAGAAAGACAGCAAAGCAAACAGGCCGTCCATCAGGCATCGGTAGCCAATCTTCAATGGCTCCAACATCCTTCAATTCATAAACCAGACAGTGAAGCTTTAACACCTGAAGTCTATGTCCTTACAGCCCTGCCTTTTTGGGGGGGTGGGGGCTCATTGTGTGTTTCCTTTAATTTTGTGTATTCTCATCTCCGCAATTTAGTTTATATACATGTGCATTGATGATATATTTATATTGTTTGATTTCAATATCAGCACAGTCTCAAAGTAGATCAAAGAACTATAAATATTGTTAACATTATACATGTATATATCAAACATACAACACATATGGTAAATTAAAAGTTGGCCTACCCTCCACCTCCTCCCTCAGACCCTACACCACTTCTAAGGGAGGCAATCCTTTGTTCTTCTGCACTAATGCTTGTGGCATGTTGCATCTACCAATAAAAGACAGTTTACATCGTCAAAAAAGTGGGTTAAACCATCTTTTTATACGGTAATCATTCTTATTTTGTGTACCTATAGAATTCACTATTACAAATCTGAAAAAATATTTTTGAATTTGTGTATATAAAATGTTATCAAGATATTTACTTCAAGCAGTGTTTCTCCTTAACATACCTCAAAGATGGTATCCTCACAGAAGTTCACGAAGCTCTCCAGCTTTTCCTTGTCACCGCCATCATTGACCACACTGTGGAGGAAGGAGCGCTTGGACTCCTGAAGGTTGGAAATGGATTTTAATAAGCCCTGCCATCTCACTTTATATCTATTGAACTTTCAATGAATACAAAACTTTCAACGGTGCCTAGATTATCTACTGAATGTGCCTAGATTATTTATTGATAAACAAGGTGGCTGGATAATCTATTGATAATGAAAGTGCCTTGGCTATCTACCCAGAATGAAGGTGAACGATGGTGACTGGGTTACCTACAGTAAACTAAGGTGGAGTCGGATGGAGTAAAGATTGTCTCAGAGCGAAATGTTATTTTCTGTATGGATTAATTAATTTTATTTTATCTTTAAAGAACATATTTAGATAAATTGAGATAGTGTAGATAAAGCTCTAACTGAAGTAGTTGTTAGAACATGTACGTAAAAACCTACCTTAATCTGAGGTTTCTCCCACTGGTCAATATGTGACTGTGTGATCTCAAAGTACACACGTTCAATCCTGTTGGCACTGCCCATGATCTCAATCCTACCAAGGAATGGCTCAAAGTAGTCAAGCACACTGCGGGCCTTCTCCAGGAATCGCTCCAGCCGTGGGTCGTTTGGCATGTGCTCCGACAGGTTGGTGAGCAACACCGCCATGGTGAAGCCAATGTCCTTAGCAGGATTGTGGAAGCGATCCGTAAACTCGTTAAAATCTACTTTACCATCTTGGTTGGCGTCCACACACATCATGATGTACTCAATCTCCTCTCTAGATCAACAAAGGTCAAGCAAGGTCATTACATAGCTATACATACAAATACTTACACCCAAAATTCTATATGTCATTACTAAATCCTATCTGCCATTGATGACCAAAGCTGTGATAGACTGTGATTTTAATCAGATCACATAGGAGGCTTGTTCATACAGCTTTATCATTTACTATTTAAAAAATGTTTCTTGATTAACATCTCAGAAAATCTCAACTGGTAAATAAATAAATAGTCAAACTCTATTTCAGTGTATACCTGGACATTTTTGACAAAGTGTCCATTGAATGCTAAACAAGCCTTAAAGTTGTGCATACACTGTTAAGCTAGCAGCGCAGGGATAGAGAACGTGACAGCAACCCATCATACCAAAGTAAGTCAAATCTGGAGCCATGTATAAAATCATACAGTAATGATATTATGTAACTATAGAATAACTTCTCAGGTTCAAATAGTGACTACATAACATACTATACAATAACACAATAATAATAAAACTATACTGAAGCCACTAAACATGGTATAATTTTACTAAATGACTTAAAAGATATAGTACAAATATAGTATATAATATAAACCATATTCAACCTAAATTATGGTGAAGGGATGGGGGCATTCAAACCAGAAAAAGAAATTTGTGATTTTTGTGAGCCTGTAGTATATTTGATGGAATGCTCATTAGGTTGAGTATGGTAAAATGTTAGAGACACAATGTACCAACTAATCAGTACCGTAAATGTCCTACTTTATATAATCTAACCACTATTGAGTATGGAACATTTTGAACTATAAAGTCATACCGTATTAACTAATGAAAAACATAGATACATAATTCAACAAGTATTAGAAGACAGCTAATGACTGATAAACAGCTGGTCAGCGGTCACGCTGCGACAAGAAAGTAAACTACTACAGTACATGAAAGTAAAACACTTACTCACACAAACATACCAAAGTACATGTAAATGAATTAATACATGGTCTCTAAGGATATAGAATCCTAATACAGTTAGCTCACTTTAAAGCTAGATTCCTGATATTGATAAGTCACTTTATAGCCAAAATTCTAATCATCTTATTTTTGTTATTTTAACATATCATGTACATGTACAAAACCTCACTAAAAATACTACATGCTATCATGTGACATGCAATCAGTAAGAGCAGAGCAGAAAAGTGATAAATCACTACATACCACACACAGGTTGGTGAGAAAGAAGTGATAAAATGTCCTTTCTTCAAAAGCAATGAAGGACAACTTGATAAAGTAAGTCAGGGACTAAAACATTAGTGAAGGAATGAACACATAAAAATACTGGTTAGGTTCCTTGTTAGATATCATCTATTAAACATCTGGTTTCAGTTTTGTTCGACGTTAGGAAATTACTGAGTATTGAATATGAGTTTCATCACAATATAAATATATTTTAATTACAAATGCAATATATGAGGACACGTTTATGAGATTATATGACAGAATACAAAGAATAGAGAACTTTGTTAGAAAGTAGTTATTATCTCATCAATTGTGTGGTTAAAAAAAGTCATCAACAGGGAGCTAGCTGTAAGGAGTAAAAAAAGAATTGAATACATTTTTGAAAATTTTTTGTAATTAAATCAAACTGAATTCAGATCAAACTTATTTTTACAGTAAAAAATGACAAACAGTTCTGGTGGTGACTGGAAAACGTCATTCCATGCTTGTTGGGACGTTGTCCAGACTTACTCCGAGTAGACTTTCATTGATTCCATAGCTTTGCGGAACTCTTTAGTTGAGATCCAACCATCTTTGTTAGCATCAAATTCCTATTTTAGACATAAAGATATGTGTCGTACAAAGTAGAGATATAGAAGTATATAGGTGACACAAGCTGTGGAGAGAAGTTAGGTTACAAGAGTCGGCAATTCTGTACACCATCGCTATAGGTCAGTTAAGTATTGATAATATCAAATAACAATTGACTTCCCTTGTTGGATTAACCTCACACAAACCAGTTTTACTGGGGAAAACATTGATTTTTCTGAAAATTTCACCGAACAAAAAGTATCAAGATTGCGTCTCCAAATACTTCATTGAATGAAAAGTGTAATGAAGGTGGCTTCCAGCTTGTGTAAGTACTTTTACAATGTCATTGATTGTTTTAGCTAGCTAACATTGATGGATGAACAGAATTCCCTACTCTGACAAGCAAGCACGCATTGACAGTTTCTATCTACAGTGTATGCACGTGTGACGATAGTAATGTGTTACTCGAGTGTGAGCACATTACACATGACCGGAGCAGTACGTATATACGGACCGTGTGTACATTTTCTGCGCTTCCATAGCCTTCCTGAACTCTTTAGCAGATATATACCCGTCCTTGTTGGTGTCAAACTCCTAAAAGTGGACCAGCATAATGAGAAATCGGACTTCGGTTAGCAGGCCCCTGCTCTGACAGGTACCAGGCCATGAATGTTTAGGTCTCAGAGCAACAATGACATACAATCAACAGGTACAGCCAATCAAAATCTTAGAATTATTACTTTCATAATTTGATCTTTTCAAGAATTAATCATTACTTTTTAAGATGCATACTTCATAATTATTTCACAACTTTTCTCTACAAGTTTGGGTTTAAACGGCTTATATCAATGCTTTATATATTGCAAAAAGAGGATTGCCCTACTCCTTGGTATTCCATTAAACACATACATGCTTATAGATTTTCTATATTAAAATCAGATGTACTCAAGCATTAATGTAACTTATATGATCTCAAACTGATCTGTAGAGAATTTGTCCAGGTAATTCTGTCACAGGTAATTCCTGAATGTTCGGGTAATAAGTAAATCAATCATATATTAAGTGTTAGAACTAATGATATCAGACCAAACAGGTCCAGAACATTACCAGAAAAGCTTCGGAAGACGTCAGGTCTTTCATCTTCAAGAAAATGTCAAAGAACTTCAGAATCATCTGAAAATAGAAAATGCTGCCCATCTATCACATGTTTCATAGAAATACCAACATAAATAGGAACAAACCATAACATATCTTACTACACACACAATTTATACATTTCCCCCACCAAATGTTTAGGCTCTGTGTTGGATATATTTTAGGTAAAGCTGATCCAGTAGTGATGTTAGCCTTTACAGGGAGGTATATCCCCTATATTACATGGATTGTAACTGACCAGGTGTTATGTTTGTGCGTCTATAAACACGTCGTACCTCTACATTTCCTGACGACTCCACCAATGTGTCCACCATTTGTTTACCAATCGCACCGTTCATCACATTACCTGAAACAGTCAAAATCAGTTTAGTATTGTTGGGTTTTGTTAAGTAAACAAGATAAAAGATGATTGTTTTATTTCTAAGATGAACATTATTTCATTGCAAAAAGTTGTTCAAAGAATGGGCTGTTACATTAACAGTCTCCATAAAACAAGAATTCCACAGGAGTGGATGTGTTGCCTGCGTAGGCAAGTTTTGAGGTTGATCTGCCCAAGGAAACTGGACTTATCGCATGGAAACATATCTTTTATTAATAGTAATGGTGACCTTGACCTTTGACCTTCCAACCTGAAAAGCAATCCCAAGCAAGCACAATTGGTAAGAAAGCACTGTATGAAGTCTAAGCGGTATTGACTTAAAGAAACTCGAGAAGTTATCGCACGGAAACATATTTTCTATTTATAGTAACAGTGACCTTGACCTTTGACCTACGAATCTGAAAAGCAATCCCAAGTAAGCACTATTAGCAAGGAAGCACTGTATGAAGTTTGAGTTAAATCAACACAAAGGAACTCAAGTTATCGCACGGAAACCTTGTTTCTGACGACGCAACTAACAATTACACATTTGCCGCCGACAAAATAATACCTACATGTCGCCTCGCACTGCAGGCGACACAAAAGTCACTTACCTTTCAACTTGTCAAGGTTCTTCTAACATGTCAAGGTCATTTGAATGTACTTTCAACATGTCACAATAATTTGATTTCACCTTTCAACAAGTCAAGTTCATTTGGAACGTCCCCCCCCGCCTCAACGCTAATGTCATCTGAACCTCCTTAGAACATGTTAAGGTCATATGATCCTATATATCTTCAAACATGTTAAGGTCATTAAGAACCTACCTTCTAACATGTCAAGGTCATTAAGAACCTACCTTCTAACATGTCAAGGTCATTAAGAACCTACCTTCTAACATGGACAGCAGCATGATCATCATGTCTTTCTGGAGCCTCATGAACTCCCTCAGCAGTTCTAGTTGAGATGGATCCTAAACACACAAATACTGAAATTAATATCCTCATACACTTCACTTCTTCGTGGAAATATTGCAGTTTACATCCTCATACACTTCAGTTCCTCAGATAGTTCCAACTTTTAATTATTAAAACTTTTGAATAGTAAATATGAATTCAATCATTGAGAGGTAATCAAATGATGGAATAAAAGAGTATTTGTGTAACCTACCTTTGATAGTTTGTCCTGCATGTGTGCAAAGATGTAGAGGAACCCTCCGACAGCATCCCACAGTCGACTGTGAGCCAGGGCCAGCTGGTTCTGGGAACACGGGCCCTGTCAACAACAACAACTATCTCAATTTTTCATAAAAAAGCAAATTAAACAATAACATGTTACTAGGACAGGAATTCCACACAATGTAAGGATATGACCTATAGTACCTGTATGTAATCAGTGATTAGGACCTGAGATAATCATGTGACTTACCTGTATGTAATCAGTGATGATTAGGACTTGAGATAATCATGTGATTTACCTGTATGTACTCAGTGACTAGGACCTGAGATAATCATATGACTTACCTGTATGTATAATGTAATCAGTAATGATTAGGACTTGAGATAATCATGTAATAATAATAATAATAATAATAAATTCTTTTATTTAGACAGNTCATGTGACTTACCTGTATGTACTCAGTGACTAGGACATGAGATAATCAAGTGACTTACCTGTATGTACTCAGTGACTAGGACCTGAGATAATCATGTGACTTACCTGTATGTACTCAGTGACTAGGACTTGAGATAATCATGTGACTTACCTGTATGTACTCAGTGACTAGGACCTGAGATAATCATGTGACTAACCTGTATGTACTCAGTGACTAGGACCTGAGATAATCACGTGACTTACCTGTATGTACTCTGTGAGGGACCTGAACATTTGTTTGGCGACCTTGATGGCCCGTACAAAGTTTTCCTTTCCGGCCTGGTCGATGAGGTCCTTGCCTGAGTAGTGCCAGTAGAAATCCATGATCGACTCCTGGAGACGCAGAAGGTAGTCTACTGTACAGATGACCACATTGACTGTGGTGTTGTTACCGGCCTGTGTTCGCAGGTAATTCTGGAACTCTGTACAGGTAAACAGATTATCACTAAAAATCACCTCAGGTAATTCTTGAACTCTGTATAGGTTAATAGATTATCATTATAAAATAACCACTTCAAATAAAAATTATCATATACCCGGGTATACAAGTACTGTAGATAAAGAGGATAACACACTCAGGTGTATTAAAAGAGATCATTTCTGCGGCTGCCTTACCAAGATTGTGGCCTTCACACAGCAGTTGGAGGAAGCGGAAAAGTTTGATTGTTATCTCAGCATCGTGGAGATTTTTCTCGCCTGCTCCAGCATCAGAGCCCACACCCAGACCTTCAGCTTTGTTGGTCCTCTCAAAGGCATCAAGGTTAAGGACACTGAAATACAGTTCACCAAAGGTTAACACAGTTTAGCAATATCATATCTAAATAGAGGTACATCTAACTATACCCACTACAGGTTAAGTATACATCAGGTCTATACAAGGTCAAATGAAGAATGACCTTCAATATGAATATACTCATGAAAATGTTAAATGACTTTTACAAGATTTTAGTGAGAATTAGATGTTATTAAGGCTATGACCTACCCACACTGCTGCATCAGACCAGATATGGAGGTGAAAAATCCCACATCCTTCTTATCCTTCAGGTGATTCAACATTTTCTGGAAGAAAGAGAGTGGTACACATGAGCTATGTCCTGTCTGTCAAGTCAGATATGGAGCTATATTTAGATATATCATGAAGTGGTTCAATCAGACCTGTACATACCTTCTGTACTTCGACGTTACCTCCCCCCAGTAGAGAGATGCCCAGCTCTATCGTGTCTACCACCATCGGACTGAACACACCTGTAACAAAGTCAGGCACTCAATCTTCACTCACAAACATAATTTGTGTGTCAATATCTTCTGTATCGAATCATTAAAATTTGTTCTTAGTTGTATGCACTATTTGTCTCAAAAATATACTTAATGTATCCAAAATATTATATGAATTGCTAACACACATAGATAAAATCTTAATTTTAAACTTTTTATCGGAAGTAGTCACTCCGTCCAATCATTGATCTGTGTTAAAGATAAAGGTCAGACTAAATAGTTCAACAAACCTAATAGACTCAAACTTAAGACAATAATGTCTTGTATCAAGTTACAGTTTATGCGACGTAATAACCATATGTTTCCAGTGAGTTTCCCGGATGTCTTTCATTTGATAGGAGCACACCTATTGTCAGTACCTACCCCGACTAGCACTGATGTAGAGGAGCATCATTTCTGCTGACCCGCGGTCAGCCAACCGTGACTGCTCAAACAGCAGCTGCTGCTTTTCCATTTCCTGTTCCTGTAGGACATACCGGTAAAGTAAGATCAACGTTTACCTAAATTTCATAATCAACATTAATGAGGCATGCACAGTGAACACCAACATAAATGAGGCAGTCAACATTTATATTGATTGGGAGGTCGACATTTATATTAATACAGCAGTCAACATTTATATTGATGGTGAGGTCGACATTTATATTAATGGGCAGTCAACATTTATATTAATGGGGGTTCAACATTTTTATTAATGGGCACTGGGCAGTCAACATTTATATTAAGGGGGGGGTCCAACATTTATATTAATGGGGTAGTCAACATTTATATTAATGGGATAGTGAACACAACTTGTAATGAGTGTACATGTATTTTAAATTGCTGTCAAAACACACCTTTTTCTTCGTAAAACATTTGAACTTTTAAAAATATCATTTAATTTTTAGAACTGATATTTCAAATTCAAACTACCTTGGTATAACTCCACTTAAATTTCTATATGTATCAAACATTTTAATATTGTGTCCATTTAAAAAATCATGTGTGTGTACAATGACTACACTAAATGCTCTCTTTCACCTTGTAACATACAAATGTGACTCCTACAACCTGCTACAAAATGACTGATAATAAGGACGTGATGTGTGAAGGGTGATAGTAGTGTAAACATGTACATATCCTACTCTCTTTACCATAGCAATCTTTGTACATATCCTACACTCTTTATCATAGCAAACTTAGTATATATCCTACTCTCTTTACCATCCCAAACTTTGTACATCTCCCTCACTCTTTACCATACTAAACTTTGTACATATCCTTCACTCTTTACCATACCGAACTTTGTTCATATCCTACCCTCTTTACCATACCATACTTTGTTCATATCCTACACTCTTTCCCATACCAAACTTTGTTCATATCCTACATTCTTTACCATACCAAACTTTGTACATATCCTACACTCATTACCATACCAAACTTTGTACACATCCTACACTCTTTACCATACCAAACTTTGTACATATTACACTCTTTACCATACCAAACTTTGTACATATCCTACACTCTTTATCATACCAAACTTTGTATATATCCTACACTCTTTATCATACCAAACTTTGTACATATCCTACACTCTTTATCATACCAAACTTTGTACATATCCTTCACTCTTTACCATAGCAAACTTTGTATATATCTTACACTCTTTATCATACCAAACTTTGTACATATCCTACACTCTTTACCATACCAAACTTTGACAAACATTATTTTTAGATAAGTTTACAAATAAAAGAAACTGATTAAACAAACAAAACTGACTAAGTATGGTGAAGCTTGACACTTTTGAAAACCACATATCTGACATAGTTTTTATGTATATCCCAGAAATATTTGTTATCTTGAGATTTTGTATCATTTTATCTAACCAGTGCTAACCAAAGTGCTAGGACCAAATTGTGACTTGTGAGGGTTAGGACACCAATACAAGCGGGACTGTCATATATAGCTGTATACATTTATTTTCATGAAAAGTTCTCTGAATCTTAACTCAATGATATATTAACATAGTATGTTATCAAAACCAATTCATTATTTCATTTTGAACATAACCATACCCTGGTAATGATGTAATGAATTTTAGTACATGTATCAATTGTTATGAGATTTTCAGAAACACATGTACAGATATGACTAGCTTGCATGAAGTATGTGCATGGAACAAGTTCAGTGAGGGTAGGGGGGATTCCAGCACAACAGAATATAGGGAAGGGAGGTAACTATGGGGAGAGGTCAAATGAAGGTCATGGCTATATATACACAGATGACTTCTACAAAACGAAGGAGTTCTACGGACAACATCGTCATTGTTGTATCGGCTGTGCTCTACTACCTTCAAATGTCCCGTTTGTAGCTGTGGTGATATCAAAGTTTCATTGGATGTACATATGTATAACATTACCTTTTGTTAAGTTAAGTCTCTATCAGTCCGTATGACTAAACACTTCCTGTAAACAACATCTGTACATAAACACTCATTAATATAATGTAGTTACATATATCACATATTGACTGGGCTAGCAGGGTCCTACTGTACAATGGTTTTGTTAGATACAATTAACGTATGACATTTCCGTGTCACGCTGTTGACAGAATATAGTTAATAAAGGAAGAGGAATACAAGATGACATCACCAGGAAAAGGAGCAGAACTTGATAAAAGGTTAGTTAGGGATGATAATCACCCCTGACATTAAAATTAACTGACCTGGAATGACGATCCTGGACCCTCAGCATCACCTCCATCATCATCTTCATCTTCATCCTCACAGTGGCAGCTCTGATTAATGCAAAAGCAAAACATCAAAATCTTCTCTCACTTTTGTGAACTAGAAGCCTGCACTTATCCCATCCCTAAGACCCTTTATACCTGAATTATGATATACCATTCAATTCCTTTAAAGATCTTTTATATCAACCCGAGCAATCATCATATCTTGGATTTCTCCTTTATTATGATATTTTTCACCTATCTCAGCCGTTATCTTTGATAGTCCCTCCCTATAATCTATAACACCTACCTGAGCTGTCATCTTTGATAGTCCCCCTCCCTCTATAGTCTATAACATCTACCTGAGCTGTCATCTTTGATAGTCCCTCCCTATAATCTATAACACCTACCTGAGCTGTCATCTTTGATAGCCCCCCTCCCTCTATAATATATAACACCTACCTGAACTGTCATCTTTGATAGTCTCTCCCTATAATCTATAACACCTACCTGAGCTGTCATCTTTGATAGTCCCCCTCCCTCTATAATCTATAACACCTACCTGAGCTGTCATCTTTTATGGTCTCTCCCTATAATCTATAACACCTACCTGAGCTGTCATCTTTGATAGTCCCCCTCCCTCTATAATCTATAACACCTACCTGAGCTGTCATCTTTTATGGTCTCTCCCTATAATCTATAACACCTACCTGAGCTGTCATCTTTGATAGTCCCCCTCCCTCTATAATCTATAACACCTACCTGAGCTGTCATCTTTTATGGTCTCTCCCTATAATCTATAACACCTACCTGAGCTGTCATCTTTGATAGTCCCCCTCCCTCTATAATCTATAACACCTATATGTACCAGAGCTGTTATCTTTTATGGTCCCTCCCTACGATCCCTCACACCTACCTGAACAGTCGTCTTAGGATGGTCCCTCCCTACGATCCCTCACACCTACCTGAGCTGTCATCTTTGAAAGTCTCCCTCCCTCTATAATCTATAATACCTACCAGAGCTGTCATCTTTTATGGTCTCTCCCTATAATCTATAACACCTACCTGAGCTGTCATCTTTGATAGTCCCCCTACCTCTATAGTCTATGGCACCTACCTGAGCTGTCATCTTTGATAGCCCCCCCTCCCTCTATAGTATATCACACCTACCTGAGCTGTCATCTTTGATAGTCACCCTACCTCTATAGTCTATCACACCTACCTGAGCTGTCATCTTTGATAGCCCCCCTCCCTCTATAGTATATCACACCTACGTGAGCTGTCATCTTTGATAGTCACCCTCCCTCTATAGTCTATCACACCTCCCTGAGCTGTCATCTTTGATAGCCCCCCCTCCCTCTATAGTATATCAAACCTACCTGAGCTGTCATCTTTGATAGTCCCCATACCTCTATAGTCTATGGCCCCTACCTGAGCTGTCATCTTTAATAGCCCCCCTCTCTCTATAGTATATAACATCTACCTGAGCTGTCATCTTTGATAGCCCCCCTACCTCTATAGTATATCACATCTACCTGAGCTGTCATCTTTGATAGTCCCCCTCCCTCTATAGTCTATGGCACCTACCTGAGCTGTCATCTTTGATAGTCCCCCTCCCTCTATAGTATATCACACCTACCTGAGCTGTCATTTTTGATAGTCCCCCTTCCTCTATAGTCTATAACACCTACCTGAGCTATCATCTTTTATGGTCTCTCCCTATAATCTATAACACCTACCTGAGCTGTCATCTTTGCTAGTCGCCCTCCCTCTGTAGTCTATAACACCTACCAGAGCTGTCATCTTTGATAGTCCATCCTATGATCCCTCACACCTACCTGAGCCATGACCTTTGATAGTCTACCCTATATGATCACCCACACTTACCTGAGCCATCATCTTTGATGGTCCCCTCCCTATGATCCCCCACACTTACATGAGCTGTGATCTTTGATAGTCCCTCCCTACGATCCCCCACACCTACCTGAGCCATGATCTTTGATAGTCCCTCCCTATTATCCCCCACACCTACCTGAGCCATGATCTTTGAGTACGCCATGTAGAGTTCATCCTCTGGAAGACTTCCTTGTTGTTCCTTGGTTGCTGCCCGACTCAGACAGGTCATCAGCTGCTTTAGAGAATCAGGTTTCTCCTCCTCATCAGCCTCCTTCTTCTCAGCATCCTCTCCATGCTGGAGAGCCTTCTACAGAGTGCAAAATTCATATGTTATGTCACATTCATTGTTCTCGCTTACTTTAAAACAGGCAGCTGACAGTAAAAATATAACTGGTTGAATGTTCACAATATATATTATTTACCCATATGCTGAAAAAAATATCTGATTCAAAGTTGATGAACATTTACTACGCTGTTTTTGCTTGTAACCAGCTTTGATAGGAGAACATTAAGCCAGTGTGCTTGTAAGTATTCAGTGTTCTGCACAGTTGTTATTTGTTCTCTACATTTGATATCAATTTTGATGATAGTGGTGTTTGAGTTGAGCTCTCATGTTTGTATACAATTCTCACCGTGAGATCCTCTATGAGAACCTTCTTCTCACTCTCTTCCATGTCCAACCATTGCTTCTTGAAGGACTTCATGAACAAGTTGATGGCTCTGTGCCTGTGGTTATAGAAATCATCACATAGGAGGTTACAGGTTTGAGGAAATTTACCGCAGCTCATACAAGTCATTAAGGTGAACCAGATAAGCCATAAACAGGTGTTTTTACATTTCATGTCAGTCATAAATAGGTGCTTTTAAATTTCAAGTAATGCATTAACAGGGTCTTTTACATTTCAAATAGCATCATTATACCTTTGTTCAGAAATAAACTGCAAGAGAATCTTTATTTATTAATAATAGTGGAACAAAAGTTACTTACCTTAAGGAGTTCATCTTGTCATTTAAGGGCTGACTCACCTTGGCATGTTCAAATTATAACAATGACTCAACCTGGTAGATGTGGGGACAATGACTTACCTTGAAAGGGTTTTCACAAATAGTAACTCACCATGGCAGGTTATTGAGTAATGCTGACTCACCTTGGCAGGTTGTGGAGTATAATGCTGGCTCACCTTGGCAGGCTGTGGAGTAATAGTGACTCACCTTGGCGGTTGTGGAGTAATAATGACTCACATTGACACATTGAGAGTAATAGTGACTCACCTTGACATGTTGGGAGTAATAGTGACTCACCTTGGCAGGTTGTGGAGTAATGGGTTTTTTTAGGGTTTTTTTTAAGCTTTTTATTATTTCTTTAACCTCGAGTCAACTGACTCATGGGTATAATACATATATTACAAGATAAGTACAACATGTTATGCAATACAATACAGAATAATTACATATGGACATATGTTTAGAGGAGAGTGACTCTTTACGTACACTTGTTGCCAAATGTAAATATTTTCCAAGATTAAAAAGTTCCCTTACAATATTGGTACTTAATAGTTGAGTTAGTGGAGTATAATTCTGGCTCACCTTGGCAGGCTGTAGAGTAATAGTGACTTGCCTTGCGGTTGTGGAGTAATAGTGACTCACCTTGACACATTGTGGAGTAATAGTGACTCACCTTGACACATTGGGAGTAATAGTGACTCACCTTGACACGTTGGGAGTAATAGTGACTCACCTTGACATGCTGGGAGTAATAGTGACTCACCTTGACACCTTGGGAGTAATAGTGACTCACTTTGACACATTGGGAGTAATAGTGACTTACCTTGACACATTGTGGAGTAATAGTGACTCACTTTGACACGTTGGGAGTAATAGCGACTCACCTTGACATGTTGGGAGTAATAGTGACTCAGAGTAATAGTGACTCAACTTGACATGTTGGGAGTAATAGTGACTCAGAGTAATAGTGACTCAACTTGACACGTTGGGAGTAATAGTGACTCGCCTTTGTAGAGTAATAGTGACTTACCTTGACACATTGTGGAGTAATAGTGACTCACCTTGACATGTTGGGAGTAATAGTGACTTACCTTGACACATTGGGAGTAATAGTGACTCGCCTTGACACCTTGGGAGTAATAGTGACTCAACTTGACACGTTGGGAGTAATAGTGACTCACTTTGACACGTTGGGAGTAATAGTGACTCACCTTGACACGTTGGGAGTAATAGTGACTCACCTTGACACGTTGGGAGTAATAGTGACTCACCTTGACACGTTGGGAGTAATAGTGACTCACCTTGACACGTTGGGAGTAATAGTGACTCACCTTGACACGTTGGGAGTAATAGTGACTCACCTTGACACGTTGGGAGTAATAGTGACTCACCTTGACACGTTGGGAGTAATAGTGACTCACCTTGACACGTTGGGAGTAATAGTGACTCACCTTGACACGTTGGGAGTAATAGTGACTCACCTTGGTAGGTTGTGGAGTATATAGTGACTCACCTTGGTAGGTTGTGGAGTAATTGTACCTCACATTGACATGTTGGGAGTAATAGTGACTCACCTTGGCAGGTTGAGGAGTAATAGTGACTTACCTTGGTAGGTTGTGGAGTAATTGTGCCTCACCTGGACACGTTGAGGAGTAATAGTGACTCACCTGGACACGTTGAGGAGTAATAGTGACTTACCTGGACACGTTGAGGAGTAATAGTGACTTACCTGGATACGTTGAGGAGTAATAGTGACTTACCTGGACACGTTGAGGAGTAATAGTGACTCACCTTGACATGTTGAGAAATAATAATGACTTACCTGGACATGTTGAGGAGTAATAGTGACTCACCTGGACACGTTGAGGAGTAATAATGACTTACCTGGACACGTTGAGGAGTAATAGTGACTTACCTGGACACGTTGAGGAGTAATAGTGACTCACCTGGACATGTTGAGGAGTAATAGTGACTTACCTGGACATGTTGAGGAGTAATAATGACTTACCTGGACACGTTGAGGAGTAATTGTGACTTACCTGGACACGTTGAGGAGTAATAGTGACTTACCTGGACACGTTGAGGAGTAATAGTGACTTACCTGGACACGTTGAGGAGTAATAGTGACTCACCTGGACACGTTGAGGAGTAATAGTGACTTACCTGGACACGTTGAGGAGTAATAGCGACTCACCTGGACACGTTGAGGAGTAATAGTGACTTACCTGGACATGTTGAGGAGTAATAGTGACTCACCTGGACACGTTGAGGAGTAATAGTGACTCACCTGGACACGTTAAGGAGTAATAGCGACTCACCTGGACACGTTGAGGAGTAATAGCGACTCACCTGGACATGTTGAGGAGTAATAGTGACTTACCTGGACACGTTAAGGAGTAATAGCGACTCACCTGGACACGTTGAGGAGTAATAGTGACTTACCTTGACACATTGTGGAGTAATTGTGACTTACCTTGACACGTTGAGGAGTAATAGCGACTGGACACGTTGAGGAGTAATAGCGACTGGACACGTTAAGGAGTAATAGTGACTCACCTGGACACGTTAAGGAGTAATAGCGACTCACCTGGACACGTTGAGGAGTAATAGTGACTTACCTTGACACATTGTGGAGAAATCGTGCCTGACCTGGACACGTTGAGTAGTAATAGTGACTTACCTGGACACGTTCAGGAGTAATAGTGACTTACCTTGACACATTGTGGAGTAATTGTGCCTCACCTGGACACGTTGAGGAGTAATAGTGACTCACCTGGACACGTTAAGGAGTAATAGCGACTCACCTGGACACGTTCAGGAGTAATAGCGACTCACCTGGACACGTTGAGGAGTAATAGTGACTCACCTGGACACATTGAGGAGTATAATAGTGACTTACCTTGACACATTGTGGAGTAATTGTGCCTCACCTGGACACGTTGAGGAGTAATAGTGACTTACCTGGACACGTTGAGGAGTAATAGTGACTTACCTTGGTAGGTTGTGGAGTAATTGTGCCTCACGTTGACATGTTGGGAGTAATAGTGACTCACCTTGGTAGTTTCAGTAGTAATAGTGACTCACCTGCACACGTTGAGGAGTAATAATGACCTACCTGGACATGTCGAGGAGTAATAGTGACTTACCTTGACACAATGTGAGTAATAGTGACTTACCTTGACACATTGTGGAGTAATTGTGACTCACCTGGACATGTTGAGGAGTAATAGTGACTCACCTGGATACGTTGAGAGTAATAGTGACTTACCTGGATACGTTGAGGAGTAATAGTGACTTACCTGGACACGTTGAGGAGGAATAGTGACTTACCTGGACACGTTGAGGAGTAATAGAGACTTACCTGGACACGTTGAGGAGTAATAGTGACTTACCTTGACACATTGTGGAGTAATTGTGCCTCACCTGGACACGTTGAGGAGTAATAGTGACTTACCTTGGTAGGTTGTTGAGTAATTGTGCCTCACGTTGACATGTTGATAGTGACTCAACTTGACACGTTGGGAGTAATAGTGACTCGCCTTTGCGGTTGTAGAGTAATAGTGACTTACCTTGACACATTGTGGAGTAATAGTGACTCACCTGGCCACGTTGAGGAGTAATAGTGACTCACCTGGACACGTTGAGGAGTAATCGTGACTCACCTGGACACGTTGAGGAGTAATACTGACTCACCTTGGCAGGTTGTGTAGAGGAATCATCCTGAAACAGGCCATAACAGCTCTCTTCCTCTGACTAGAGATCACCTTCTTCCATGCATTTTTGTGAGATGGAGAAGGATGCTCAACCTGTGGAGAGATAGGTAATATAAATAGCACAGCTATTGAGCATATATAGATATGTTATATAGCTAGATTCCAGAAATATTTCTCTATTCAGACAGTGATGAAAAATTGACAATCATCCTGTAAAAAGAGAATTTCTTTCTGAAACAACACTTGAATAGATAAATATTTCTGGATGGCTGAAATATTTAAGATGGCATCAGTGTAACACCCTCTACTTACACTACTCCCTTAGTACTTGTTACAGGATATGCGGTTTTAATAGCCAATGCTGCAGCACATTCAATGAAAGAAAAGAAAATCAGAAAGGAAGAAATGAAATAAAACTAAATGAAAATAAATCAAAATGAACATAAAAAATAAATAAAAGCAAAAAAAATCTTTGCAAAGAAAATAGAGCTAATAAAATAAATTGATGGAAGCAGAAAATCAAAATTCAAAATCAACAAATATTTGCCATTGTTAGTAATTAATTTCTCTTCCTCATTTATTAAGAAGTCTGCCAGCTGTGAGCTGTGAAGAGAAGCATCTGTATGGGACAGAAATCCCATTAAGAAGTCAGCCATTGTTTAAGCATAGCATCTGTAGGGGAGACGAGGCCACTTTAAGCTAGTACTATATAGTGTACCAAAGATAAAAAGCAGAAAGCATTCTATAGACTATTCCTGAGCAAGGTGACAGGATTTAATACCCTAGCAGTAATCCCTGTGTTAATTACTCTAACTACAGGTAACATATATCCAAATAGCCATTCTTCAGCCATCTAGTAATCAACACTTTTTTTTTAACAAAATTCATCTCATTCAAACTAAACAACATACCGTAATTAATTAAGATATACCCATGGTAAGTTTGTAATGGTTTTTAACCATATGTACTGCATTAGAATCTGTCTAATGATAGAATATCCTTTTTATATGACCTCTGCGTAACCTTCACCTCGGCATTGCCCCCTTTTTAACACTTCTGTGTAGCCGTTAACTTTTAACGAATCTAAATCCAAAGGTCTTCAAAATATATACATGTATTTCCAATTTGTTTTATTGATTGACCAAAGTTATTGTGCATCAATCTGAAATTCACATGAATCACTTCTTCATTTTATTTTGTTTTTTATTTTTTGTTAGTTCTCAGGAAAAGGTACAATAAAGGATTTCTTACAGAGGTTACAAAACATCAATACGGTGGATATATATATATATACAAAGGTAACATATACAGCGCATTCTGTGTATATAGTAACACTGACAACCACACCATCCTAACACGTCATAAGCTGTGATCAGGTATATATCAAACAAAAAACGGTATTTCACCAGTTCATCTTCAAACTCATGATGAATTCAAGTCAATGATTAACATATTTCTCATAAACAATCATTTCAACAAAAAAAAGCCCCTACAGCAGTAAGTCTATCTAACTGTCAGAACCTGTCCTAACTTGAAACAAAGTGTCAGAGAGTGTGATGATTCTGAGAGGAAAAACCAACTGTAAGCCAGATTATACTGGTAATTAACAATACCGCAGTACTAGTACAGTAAACCATACGGGGATATCTGGAAGTGTCTAACCTCAGGTATACAGTTACCTACATGTCCTCTTTATGATAGTTGTATTGGAAAGTTTTCTTTTTAAGTATTTGATTTTTATCAGAAATTACAAATCATTGTCTTGAATACAAAATTAATTTCTCCCATTTGTAAAATAAAGTTTTTTCATAAAAGTAATAATAATATTAAAAAATAATTCCACAAGATCTAATGATATTCATATATTGTGTTTGTAGTGGAACATGAAATTATGGACAATTCAAAATGGGAGAAACTGTACATGTGTATGGGTATGATGTTAGTGTTCCCACACCATTCCAACAGCAGCTGTCGACGAGCCATGTTTATCCTGTAACTAAAATGGCCATGTTAATGTACAATCTAAGCTGTGATTCAGGAACAGCCATATGTCCACAATAACCCTGAAAAAACCACACAGGGGTGGGATGTATACAATGCAGGCTTTTGAAGCTTTTATTGAGAGGGGTTATAAAGCATAACAGTTTAATTCTTTAAAAAAAAATTGAAAACCACCCACATAAACAATATTTTGTGACAATTAAAGATTATCAGTATTACTTTTATTTTGGTATGAAAACAAAAACAAACAGCAATTTCAATTTTGACCAATATAAAACAAAAATCTGCATAAAAAATATCAAAATACAGAGAACCCATATATTAGTAACATACTAGCACTCTTATTAAAGTGGACTTAGTAGAAACGGCTGTAATGTGATGCACCGCGATACCTATTAACTTACGGAGAGCATTCCGCCATACCTCCCATCCACCTTCTCATTTATTTCAAACTATAAGGCAATAAACAACAGGTAAAGTTACACAGAACGTAAAACCATAACAAAAATAAAAATCACACAAAGGTTTAGACTTTTTTTCCAATGGACTGAAACAGAAATGTAAAATGGCTTGCCATTGTGGTCTGCTTATTTTTGCTTGCAGTATGTTTTTTGTAGATTGGTGGTCTGCTAATTTTTCCTTGCTGTATGGGTTTTGTAGGTTTGCCATTGTGGTCTGCTTGTTTTGCAAGTTTTGCTTGCAGTATGTTTTTTGTAGCATCACCTAGCTTGGTGTTCTGCTAATTTTTCCTTGCTGTATGGGTTTTGTAGCATTGCCATTGTGGTCTGCTAAGTTTTGCTTGCAGTATAGTGTTCCAAGGAATTTCGCAGCCTTGTCTGATGTACGACAACAAATGGCAAACCCCTAGATGTTTTAAAGCTGTTATACAAATGATGAGTGTAATTATTCCCATAAATTTCTCTTAAGGCTGAAACATTCAATATGCCACATATACATTTTTACTCATGCAAACTTACACGCTATAACATACAGGGAAGCAGACAGTCTCAATAAAACATCATAAAGCTAGCCTCTTTCTGGCCACAATTGTCCCATTTCTTTACTTCCTTTCTTTCAATTTTATTGAAACTCAACATATTTACAATTTATATTAATACCCATTTCTGTTAATAAGAAGTGTAAATATATAGTTGATGTTTTGGTGTAATATTGGCGTTCAACCCCCAACAATGATTTTCAGCTTTTATCGTTGTAACTAGCAAGAGACCAGACACAAATGTTGTGTGAGTAACATTGTTTGATGTCTTTTCAACAGAAACTGTTTCCATGACACTGGGAAGCATGTACCAGACTTAAATTTGTCTATAAAATATTGACGTGATGGTATCCTGTACTGTTGAAATGCATGGACATATATATGGTTGTATTCCATGCAAATATTATTAGCCGAGAACAAAACAACAGATACTGCCTCAACAAAGACAAAGGAAATTGTAAGCTTAGCATCCTACGAACATTTTGTTGGATTGGATCAACTACCAGGCGTAAGTGTACAGTGAGCTAGTTATATTGGTATATTAACACCTTGCCATACACGATTACCTTAGAACTCGTCATGAGGCAAGAAGCTAACGAAGGATCCTGCTGCTGAAAACAGGCCAAAAGTAGCTTCTATGTTACAAAATGGAAGATGAAAGGAACAGCTTAATAACTCAGAAAACTCGGAAGTTTGCAAATCCTTATGTAAGAATATTAAGTAAATATGTAAATCTCTGCCATGTGTGAGGTGAGCGATAGGTTCAACATTTTACCTAAGTATATAACAGCACTGTTATCAATATTTTTGTTGCTTTATCATTCAAGAGTGCTTATACACATTGTCTATGTAAGTGATATATTGAGGGACTTTAAAACTATTATTAGACATTTAAATAAATCTTTATAATCTGTTCCATTTTTCAATTTTTCATCAAAACTTCTTGTAAAAACCTGACAACCCCACTATATTTTTTATAAAAACAAAATGTTCTGTGACAAATAAGTCACTCATCAGCTGAGTGTGTATCTAGATGACATTATACCGACCCTATACAAGCATGGTCTTCCCTGGTCATTACAAAGTGATGGAGAGGCTCTAAAGGCAAAACTAGTTTACAGAACACAAGAAAAATAATCTGTAAAAGGAAATAAACACACAACCTAACACAGAAAAATGTTGAAAAAATTAAATGTTAGAATATCAGATTAGAAATAAATATGAGTTACAAGTGCAAAAGCTAATACAAATAGCAATTTTACAGATCAAGACAATTATTTGCATTCTTTCAACTCTTACTGGCTGACACAGAATTCTATACTATATATTATATAATACATTTTGCAGATATTTCTTTTTTCAGTTTTGCATTTCAAGCTATTTCATCTGTTCAAACTATTTCCGACATCAAGCACAACAACAGGCTCAAATGGCCTGTTTCCATCACCTGTTTTACTGGGAAATGTTGGTAGAATGTGTTTAATGTTTAAATGTTAGACAATAAAGTGTTTCAAGTTTTCAACATATTTGACTCCTGTGACATTGAATGCCAGTAAACACAATACAATTAAACTATTGCTAGCCCTTCATTCTAGCGAGCTACAACCATAATATTATTACTCTAGGCCTCATGGTCCAAGAGAACTTGTTTGAAGATTTTAATACATTTGACTCCTGTGAATTTGAATGAGGGTCCAGTTCATTTATTTGAACAAAACTGGTAGCCTTTCATTCAAACAAGCTTCAGGCCAATATCATAAATGTAGACATGGTTGTTCTCTAGAAAAAGATGTTAGAATATTTAATCCCATTTGACACACTAGACTCACATTAAAGACGAGCTTGAATTAAGTTATGTTCACAAAGGTATCACTTAGACAAAAACATTGATACATAAGAGGGCACCATGACGAGCTAATGAAATTCGAGCAAATATTCAATGTACATGTATGATATTCCTGCTGTCATTGTAAAAACAATACATTTAAATAACTATAATCACTATCATTAGTCACAGAGTTATATCAGATTGATGAAACAGAAAAGGTTGTTTAGAATCATATCTCTGTCTAAATATTAGATAGCTGGTGACAAGCCTAAGCTACCAAATCTGTCTAAATATTAGGTAACTGGTGACAAGCCTAAGCTACCAAATCTGTCTAAATATTAGGTAACTGGTGACAAGCCTAAGCTACCAAATCTGTCTAAATATTAGGTAACTGGTGACAAGCCTAAGCTACCAAATCTGTCTAAATATTAGGTAGCTGGTGACAAGCCTAAGCTACCAAATCTCTGTCTAAATATTAGGTAACTGGTGACAAGCCTAAGCTACCAAATCTGTCTAAATATTAGGTAACTGGTGACAAGCCTAAGCTACCAAATCTGTCTAAATATTAGGTAACTGGTGACAAGCCTAAGCTACCAAATCTGTCTAAATATTAGGTAGCTGGTGACAAGCCTAAGCTACCAAATCTCTGTCTAAATATTAGGTAACTGGTGACAAGCCTAAGCTACCAAATCTGTCTAAATATTAGGTAGCTGGTGACAAGCCTAAGCTACCAAATCTCTGTCTAAATATTAGGTAACTGGTGACAAGCCTAAGCTACCAAATCTCTGTCTAAATATTAGGTAGCTGGTGACAAGCCTAAGCTACCAAATCTCTGTCTAAATATTAGGTAGCTGGTGACAAGCCTAAGCTACCATATCTCTGTCTAAATATTAGGTAGCTGGTGACAAGCCTAAGCTACCATATCTCTGTCTAAATATTAGGTAGCTGGTGACAAGCCTAAGCTACCATATCTCTGTCTAAATATTAGGTAGCTGGTGACAAGCCTAAGCTACCATATCTCTGTCTAAATATTAGGTAGCTGGTGACAAGCCTAAGCTACCATATCTCTGTCTAAATATTAGGTAGCTGGTGACAAGCCTAAGCTACCATATCTCTGTCTAAATATTAGGTAGCTGGTGACAAGCCTAAGCTACCATATCTCTGTCTAAATATTAGGTAGCTGGTGACAAGCCTAAGCTACCATATCTCTGTCTAAATATTAGGTAGCTGGTGACAAGCCTAAGCTACCATATCTCTGTCTAAATATTAGGTAGCTGGTGACAAGCCTAAGCTACCATATCTCTGTCTAAATATTAGGTAGCTGGTGACAAGCCTAAGCTACCATATCTCTGTCTAAATATTAGGTAGCTGGTGACAAGCCTAAGCTACCATATCTCTGTCTAAATATTAGGTAGCTGGTGACAAGCCTAAGCTACCATATCTCTGTCTAAATATTAGGTAGCTGGTGACAAGCCTAAGCTACCATATCTCTGTCTAAATATTAGGTAGCTGGTGACAAGCCTAAGCTACCATATCTCTGTCTAAATATTAGGTAGCTGGTGACAAGCCTAAGCTACCATATCTCTGTCTAAATATTAGGTAGCTGGTGACAAGCCTAAGCTACCATATCTCTGTCTAAATATTAGGTAGCTGGTGACAAGCCTAAGCTACCATATCTCTGTCTAAATATTAGGTAGCTGGTGACAAGCCTAAGCTACCATATCTCTGTCTAAATATTAGGTAGCTGGTGACAAGCCTAAGCTACCATATCTCTGTCTAAATATTAGGTAGCTGGTGACAAGCCTAAGCTACCATATCTCTGTCTAAATATTAGGTAGCTGGTGACAAGCCTAAGCTACCATATCTCTGTCTAAATATTAGGTAGCTGGTGACAAGCCTAAGCTACCATATCTCTGTCTAAATATTAGGTAGCTGGTGACAAGCCTAAGCTACCATATCTCTGTCTAAATATTAGGTAGCTGGTGACAAGCCTAAGCTACCATATCTCTGTCTAAATATTAGGTAGCTGGTGACAAGCCTAAGCTACCATATCTCTGTCTAAATATTAGGTAGCTGGTGACAAGCCTAAGCTACCATATCTCTGTCTAAATATTAGGTAGCTGGTGACAAGCCTAAGCTACCATATCTCTGTCTAAATATTAGGTAGCTGGTGACAAGCCTAAGCTACCATATCTCTGTCTAAATATTAGGTAGCTGGTGACAAGCCTAAGCTACCATATCTCTGTCTAAATATTAGGTAGCTGGTGACAAGCCTAAGCTACCATATCTCTGTCTAAATATTAGGTAGCTGGTGACAAGCCTAAGCTACCATATCTCTGTCTAAATATTAGGTAGCTGGTGACAAGCCTAAGCTACCATATCCACTACCAGTCAAAGTCGACTAAGTGGTACTTCTAGGTGTATCTAAGTTGGTTTAAGGTTATATTTGAGTCACAATGAAGGTCATACGTACCATGTGGAGGCCATGCATGACCTTGGCCATTGAGAGGATCCTGTCGATGGCCTGTTGCTGGTTTATCTCCCCTCCCTGGTTGCCACCAATCTTGCGATACAGCACTTTCTGCCATTTTACTTTGTCATCCGTTGGCTGCAAATGTAATACATTTTCGTAATTTTTTCATAAGTGTCCCAGGCCTACAGCTCACATGTCTGAATAGAATGATACTTGAGGTACATTTCTGTTCTGACTGTAGACTGAATTACATTATAATCCAATTGTGTAATCAAACCTTACTCTTAAATTTTCTTAAAGTTATACTTTTTTACTACTTTTTTTTATAAAAATAAAATATAAATCTTATTATGACCAAAGCAACATGATATTTGTGTTTGGATACAAATGCTGTGTAATTCACTAACTTGTAGTGTTGAGGTAATACTTATATATTGAGCAAGGTTAAATAATATTATTTGAGATGTGCCATGTTTGATACTTACGCCTTCCTCAGCTGCTAGACTTGCGATCAAGTATTCTTCAATATCAGACTCTGTATCCTTCTGTAATCACACACACCACATAAATACTATTATAAAAACTTTCTCGTGATAAACTGACCGTCATGACACATCAAGCCATCATAGCAACGTATACAAAACAGTCTAATTCTTCTAAAACCTTTACTAATAAACAAAAGATAGGTGTTTTAAGTTAACTAGACATACTCCTATTTCTACAAAAACAAATAAAGATGATTTTACAAAATACACGGACTAGTTAAGACATGAATAAACAATTTTTTTCTACACGTAACAACTCTACGATAAAAAAGCTGGCCGTATCCACAGGTGACAGCATGCTCCGAACAGTTAAGTTCTCATCACTACGTATCTACAGAGATACTACAAACCAGTGGTTCAGGCCGATTACTTAAACCAGCAACAATAGTCACCAAGTCAATTAAGGAAGTCTGATACTAGTTCACTATTTCCAAAGGCAATACATTATTGATAAGAACTAGAAGAAAACTTATAATATAATTTAAAATAAATTTTGGTCTAATACACACAGGGAAATGTTGAATAATAAGATTTAGATATACTAATGACATGTGTTTGTTTTAGTAAAAAAATCTATGAGGCAAAACAATTTGATGCCATGCTGAAGTGATTGAAATTAATTGATAACACTTGGGAAATGAACATACATGAGGTCGTTCTATATTAAAGTTAAGATAACGATGAATGGATTTGAGATACAGTTTCAACATACTGATAAACAGATATAAAACAAAACTTATTACCTGTCTAGTTTTACACGAGTTGTTAAAAAAACACAAAAAAAACTTTGAATTGCCCAAATACCGAAATTAGTTACAGCTATCAATTTAAAAAACAATTTACCACAGCACGCGAAATCAAAGGCGAAATAAAAAAAATCATAAATCTTTCACCACTGAATATTGATTGTTTAACACACAATATAACCTAGAACTACAAAATGATGGTAATTAACACAAAGGAAAAACCTTGATGAACTTCTATATTATGGTCAAGATTAGATTAATGCACTCGGGTTAAATCATTAACATTACGACCAGAGGGATGAAAAGTCGGCTGAAACATTCACAATCTCACTGCTGTCGACATGGCATATGAACATTTGTAGAAAACTCCAATCTTAAATTTGATACGATGAGGTCTGAAGAAATTAAAAAGATGAAAATTTAAAAACTTCATGCAGCTTTTATGTTGTGAAATACATTAATGTGATATATACAACAAAGTCTAAAGATACATGTCCTACCGTACAACATGTAGTAGGGTTGTATATATACAGAGGTAGATATATAGTGTGGCCTCTTAGTTCTACAACACCATCACCAACACTGGAGAACTTTCATAAAACAGAATCTCAAAATAGCTACATGCAACAAAACGAAAGTAGTTCTGTGTAGTAAGTTATCTATCTTCATCTAAAACTATAAACAGATCTTTTAAGACCCGTCTAAACATTAAGAACATTTCAAAATTCTTATTAAACTGACTAAATAAAGTTTTAAAAAGTATGAACCTCATAAAAACCTTTAGACACAATATATGAGGGTAGATATTTATTCATCAATTGTCAATTGCTTAGTAACTCAAAATTATCTCCCCTTATATAATTATCTCCCCTAATATAATTATCTCCCCTTATATAATTATCTCCCCCTTATTTAACTCCCCTTATAACATTACAACACAGAACTAAGGGAAACATGGATAGAAGAAGAAATAAACTGGCAAAGACCATCCACTTCAATAGTTCAATAGTTCACAGTACTGACGTGGAGCAGCCATTTTGTAATATAGATATTGTTTAACTCTTGTCTACCTGACCAGTAATTAACAGCAGGTGAAAAAAGGTTGAAATTGATAAAATAGAAAAATAATTTAATCAAATATTAATTTCATTGACATATTTTAACATGATTTATCAATTAAGTGATATAGAAATTTGTAATCAACATTTCAAAGATACAAAATGACTGCCACTTGCCATCAAGTGACCAGTAGTACAAGACAAGAAAGCTGGCAATACCCCTGATATGATTTCCTCGCGATCGGAGTCCTGAAACAGCAGTGACGTAGCACATCTTAGTAGGGTAACAATGACCTTACTAATTATAGCTGCCTTATTTACACAAACTAAGGCTTACAGAACACACAATGTTAACAGGATGATGGAGGCTGGACTAGTGTCAGTATGTAGGGTCTGTCTCTGGGAGATTTACACAGCTACCTGACCGTTAAACGCTGGACTAGTGTCAGTATATAGGGTCTGCCTCTGGGAGATTTACACAGCTAACTGACCACTAAAGGTAGGACTTGTGTAAGGGTGTAGGGGCTGTTGCTGGGAGATTTACACCGTTAACTGACTACTACAGGTAGGACTAGTGTCAGTATATAGGCTCTGTCTCTGGGAGATTTACAGAGCTATCTGACCGTTAAACGCTGGACTAGTGTCAGTATATAGGGTCTGTATCTGGGAGATGTACATAGCTTTCTGATCCTTAAACACAGGACTAGTGTCAGAGTGTCGGGTCTGTTACTGGGAGATTTACACTGTTATCTGACCGCTAAAAGTAGGACTTGTGTCAGAGTGTAGGGTCTGTACCTGGGAGATTTACACAGCTAACTGACTACTAAAGGTAGGACTTGTGTCAGGGTGTAGGGGCTCTTGCTGGGAGATTTACACCGTTAACTGACCACTACAGGTAGGACTTGTGTCAGGGTGTAGGGTCTGTTGCTGGGAGATTTACACCGTTAACTGACTACTACAGGTAGGACTAGTGTCAGTATGAAGGGGTTGTTACTGGAAGATTTACACAGATATCTGACCACTACAGGTAGGACTTGTGTCAGGGTGTAGGGTCTGTTGCTGGGAGATTTACACCGTTAACTGACTACTACAGGTAGGACTAGTGTCAGTATGCAGGGTTTGTTACTGGGAGATTTACACAGATATCTGACCACTACAGGTAGGACTAGTGTCAGTATGAAGGGGTTGTTACTGGAAGATTTACACAGATATCTGACCACTACAGGTAGGACTTGTGTCAGGGTGTAGGGGCTGTTGCTGGGAGATTTACACCGTTAACTGACTACTACAGGTAGGACTAGTGTCAGAGTGTCAGGTCTGTTACTGGGAGATTTACACTGTTATCTGACCGCTAAAAGTAGGACTTGTGTCAGAGTGTAGGGTCTGTACCTGGGAGATTTACACAGCTAACTGACCACTAAAGGTAGGACTTGTGTAAGGGTGTAGGGGCTGTTGCTGGGAGATTTAAACCGTTAACTGACCATTACAGGTAGGTCTAGTGTCAGAGTGTCGGGTCCCCCACTGGGAGATTTACACCGTTATCTGGCCGTTAAACGCAGGACTAGTGGCAGTTTGTAGGGTCTGTCTCCTGGAGATTTACACAGCTATCTGTCCGTTAATGGCAGGACTAGTGTCAGTATGGAGGGTCTGTCTCTGGGAGATTCACACAGCTATCTGACCGTTAAAAGCAGGACTAGTGTCAGTATGTAAGGTCTGTCTCTGGGAGATTTACAGAGCTATCTGACCGTTAAACGCAGGACTAGTATCAGTATATAGGGTCTGTCTCTGTGAGATTTACACAGCTATCTGAGCACTACAGGTAGGACTAGTGTCAGTATATAGGGTCTGTGTCTGGGAGATTTACACAGCTATCTTATCGATACACACAGGACTAGTGTCAGTATGGAGGGTCTGACTCTGGGAGATTTACACAGCTACCTGACCGTTAAACGCTGGACTAGTGTCAGTATATAGGGTCTGTATCTGGGAGATGTACATAGCTTTCTGATCCTTAAACACAGGACTAGTGTCAGAGTGTCGGGGCTGTTACTGGGAGATTTACACTATTATCTGACCGCTAAAAGTAGGACTTGTGTCAGAGTGTAGGGTCTGTCTCTAGGAGATTTACACAGCTAACTGACTACTAAAGGTAGGACTTGTGTCAGGGTGTAGGGTCTGTTGCTGGGAGATTTACACCGTTAACTGACCACTACAGGTAGGACTAGTGTCAGTATGCAGGGTTTGTTACTGGGAGATTTACACAGCTATCTTATCGATACACACAGGACTAGTGTCAGTATATAGGGTATGTCTCTGTGAGAGTTACACAGCTATCTGACCGTTAAACGGAGGACTAGTGTCAGTATGTAGGGGCTGTCTCTGGGAGATTTACACAGCTTTCTGATCGTTAAACGCAGGACTATAGTGTCAGTATGTAGGGTCTGACTCGTGTAGATTTACACAGTTATCTGACCGTTAAACGCAGTACTAGTGTCAGTATGTAGGGTCCGTCTCTGGGAGATTTACACAGCTACCTGACCGTTAAACGCTGGACTAGTGTCAGTATATAGGGTCTGCCTCTGGGAGATTTACACAGCTTTCTGATCGTTAAACGCAGGACTAGTGTCACTATGTAGGGTCTGGCTCTGGGAGATTTGCACAGCTATCTGATCGTTAAAGCTGCCTTATTTACACAAACTTAAGGCTTACAGAACACACATTGTTAACAGGATGATGAAGGCAGGACTAGTGTCAGTATGGAGGGTCTGACTCTGGGAGATTTACACAGCTATCTGTCCGTTAATGGCAGGACTAGTGGCAGTATGTAGGGTCTGTCTCTTGGTGATTTACACAGCTATCTGACCATTAAACGCAGGACTAGTGTCACTATGTAGGGTCTGGCTCTGGGAGATTTGCACAGCTATCTGATCGTTAAACCCAGGACTAGTGTCAGTATATAGGGTATGTCTCTGTGAGAGTTACACAGCTATCTGACCGTTAAACGCAGGACTTGTGTCAGTATGAAGGGTTTGTTACTGAGAGATTTACACAGATATCTGACCACAACAGGTAGGTCTAGTGTCAGAGTGTCGGGGCTGTTACTGGGAGATTTACACCGTTTTCTGACCGTTAAACGCAGGACTAGTGTCAGTATGTAGGGTCTGTCTCTTGGAGATTTACACAGCTATCTGACCGTTAATGGCAGGACTAGTGTCAGTATGTAGGGTCTGTCTCTGGGAGATTTACACAGCTATCTGACCACTACAGGTAGGACTAGTGTCAGAGTGTCGGGTCTGTTTCTGGGAGATTTACACCGTTAACTGACCATTACAGGTAGGTCTAGTGTCAGAGTGTCGGGTCTGGTACTGGGAGATTTTCACCGTTATCTGACCGTTAAAAGCAGGACTAGTGTCAGGATGGAGGGGCTGTCTCTGGGAGATTTAAACAGCTAACTGACCACTAAAGGTAGGACTTGTGTCAGGGTGTAGGGGCTGTTGCTGGGAGATTTACACCACTAGAGGCATACTAATTGGCAGGGAAGGACAAATTTTTTTCACAACTACTAGAAGCTAAGGGGATCACAATCAACAATTGAATTACAATTTTTCCACCAGACTTACAGAAAATACAGAATTAAATAAAAATATATTTGATACAATATTCATACATACTACAATCGGATATACATGTTATACATAGTAATATAAACACAAAAGTGCTGAGACTTAAAAAAATTACCTTCCATTTTAAAAGAGGCTTTGCTCTACAGTTAGTTTAGGTTAATGCCATATCATACATATATATGTTGTGATCTACACTGATAATAAAAACCAGGGGTTAAACCTGACATCAAATAGTAAACAAAAGCAAGCCATCTTTATGTACCCGACAGTTAAATTGATCCTTCACTACCTAAGACAAGCTGGATGTGTTGTCAGGGTTGTCATAGTTACATTGTCAGGAGATAGTTGGTTACATATTGTCAGTTACAGTGTCAAGGTCACTTTGACCTCCGTGTAACAGGAAGTATTAGTGTAAATTGTCATAGTTACAGTGTCAAGGTCACTTTGACCTCTGTGTAATAGGAAGTATTAGTGTATGGGATTTCAATGTTAGATGTATGATCTACCTTTCGTACATTAAAGCAAACTAATAAACAAAAATGAGTTAATTAAACAGAAAATGTCAAACAGACCCATACATGTGTTCTCCTTAGTATATACAGTAAAATAGTATTCAGTTTTCCACTGAAAGAGCATGAAATGACTAAGGGCACTGTCTTTTACATGAGAAATGGCCCTCCCCCCTACACCCCCACAGGTTACCTCATCCCCTAGGTACAACATGTGTATGTGACAGCCCAGACTCCTAGTTCACTGTGTACAAGATACACTACCTACAAACTATGTCTTTATCAAACAAAGACAATCAGTGTAAAGTTTAGTGAGTTGCTAAAGGGATTTATAGCAAGAAAACAAGATTAAACATATAACAGGTCAAATGTATTAAAAACACACAACAATATTTCTAATAATAGTGAGATATATGTAAAAACCTGTTAGAAACAATTGTAAATAGGTCACATCACATGTATTAAGCACCATTGTTGGCAGTCTAGTGCTTCTGTATGTGATGCAGTAACATTGTACCCTATCTTCTTTCCCCAGTTACTTTTCTGGCCAAGATAACGCCTTCAAGGGAGAGCAGAATTAAAACCAAGCAATTTCAGTGGTCAAAACTGCCAGGAAATAGCCATTGGTCAAGCTTTGTTCATGGGAAATTCAAATCAAAAGTAAGAAGATCATTCAAAGTGTATTTTTAGAAAATTGTGGGACAAGATATAGTACTGTATAGCTGGTTATTTTGGAGACTGCAAATTGTTTCACTCAAAGTGACAGAATCCAGAACATCCAATTTTCATGGTTATTGACTTTAATATTCACTGTTAAGTATTATGCCCCTGTAAAGTAACAAGAAATGCTGTTATTGGTATGACATCCCTTCATCGTTGTCGAACTATTTCGTTAATGCAGCATGGATCACAAAGATCGATATATATCGAACTGACAAGTTCATAAATCACCCACAAATAGAATACAATATTGAACTGTTCACAATTTATTTATATCTATGAATTAGCTGTGTTTTTGTCTTTGAACTAACACCAAAGTTTAGTGCACCTGACCTGAATGGAATCTGTTTCTGGTAACTCCTCTACATATGTCAATTATATCCGAGTTCCAACCGTTCCTGTGGGAATTCCCTAATGCTATATTTAGAAGTCAAACAATGGCTTAACATATAGGCCACACATTTTTTTTCAATAATTTTCAAAGGAATTTTATAGAAATAAAAGTTAGTCATATGTTTTACACCACAAACTATTAAGTCATTAAAACATTGAAATAATTTAATACAAACAGTCACACTTGGTGTATTACGGGTTTGTACGAGATAGCCTACTACAGTACTGGTGCAGTAGTCTGTGGTGATGAAGGTTATAATGCCGATCATTCTTCCTGTGTTATATTGTATTACATGATAACATTTTGCAATCACTGATAAGTCTTGCAAGTAAAAATATCATCCCCATAAGAATAACCAGCTATACAGCAATTTAGAGACAAAGCAGTTTTGGAGAGCAGAGAATAAGTACAACTGCATAGCATATATAATGTCTAACTGGTAATTCAGATAAAACACGAAAGTATATATAGGCCACGTGTAACAACAATCAGCAAGAAACCCTACCAGGTCATCCAGGCTCACACTTTGTATCAGTATTGTGTTAACCTCACACACAGTATTGTGTTAACCTCAAACACTGAATTGATCACAGATTTCACATTGATTTTTTTATCTATAATTTGTTTTAAATAAGATTGACTGTTTTTCAATAAAATTTGATGAAGTGACTGTTATTAAACTGAGTCTGAGCCATGAACAACCTCCACAAGTAACAAAGCCAACAGTCTCCACAACCCTACCTACCTCAATCAGCTTCTGTTTGGCATGCTGCAGTAACTCTTGTTCCCGCCCACTAAAGAAACTTAGACCAATGGGCAGGAGTCTCTTAAGACATGCGACATTCAGACTGTTGTGAAGCTCCATTCTCTTTTTCTCACGTTTACGACCCGGACGTTTATTGTTAGTCGCTGTATCAGGGTTATTAGATGTCACTGTTTTGGTCTGACTAGGCATGATTAAGGCCATGTTGTCTATTTCGTTGGCCATCACAAAGTTCTGCTCCTCACGCTTGAACAACTGAAGTATACAATGAAGTGCTGCAATTATTTTCAATGAAGAAATAACATATTTAATGAAATGCTCATTTTTCTAGACAATCAGAAAATGTCAACCAATTATCAAAATACCTGGTAATGAAAAATTGTTTTATGATAACATAATAATATTATCCTGTCTAAAATTTCAAAAAATAAATAAATCATATCTATCAGGAAATAAATTGCTCAAAGAAAAGATAGGACTACAATATAAGTGTTCCTTAGAATATACATTGAATACTTACAATAGACCTCGACCAGAGACCAAACATGTTGGCGACACAAGTGAAGAGTTCCTCAGCCTCTGAGGACGGATTCTTCAGCCACTGTGACCTGTGTAGGTCCACATACTTAATCAGCAGTGGGTAGAATGCATAGATGTCTCTCACAAGGATCCCAAAAGCCTACAGACAACAAGGTCAAGGTCATTACCAGCATTACATACAGTAAACTTTACTGTTATGACAGCTTTACTGATAAGGTTAAGGTTAACTCCAGCTTTGAATAATGTATTTTGACAGCCATAAAGCTAGATTGCAGTTTGAAAATTTTGAAGTTGACCTCACTGTGGTCTAAAATTTAAAATAACCCAACTTTATATTATTGTTGAGTAAATTTTGGTAATGTATTGGAACTGATTTAAATGTGCAATATATAATAATCCCAATGATATGTATGATACAACAGGTTGTGATTGACACTGTACCTCCTGTGTTTCCTGTTCAAGGTCAGCTACGTCAACTGTGCTGTGTTTGTTTGCCAACAGGCGCTTCTCGAGCAGCTCAACACCAGCATTACCTTCCCTTAGCTTCATTGCGATTGGCAGGAAGTGCTCCTTGATCATGTCAGGAGTCGAGTTGACAATGATTGGCTGTGTGCGGGCTGGTCGAGAAATAATAGAAATAGGCTGTTAATCTCGCTCTGATAACCAATGAAATCTCGAGAAGTAGTTAATCTCGCTCTGATAACCAATGAAATCTCGAGGAATAGTTAATCTCGCTCTGATAACCAACGAAATCTCGAGGAATAGTTAATCTCGCTCTGATAACCAATGAAATCTTGAGGAATAGTTAATCTCGCTCTGATAACCAATGAAATCTCGAGGAATAGTTAATCTCGCTCTGATAACCAATGAAATCTCGAGGAGTAGTTAATCTCGCTCTGATAACCAATGAAATCTCGAGGAATAGTTAACCTCGCTCTGATAACCAACGAAATCTCGAGGAATAGTTAATCTTGCTCTGATAACCAATGAAATCTTGAGGAATAGTTAATCTCGCTCTGATAACCAATGAAATCTCTAGGAGTAGTATGTATCTACAGTATTTTTAGCTGCATTAATTATGTAATCACATATTCTACTTAGGTGGCAATCAGACATACCATGTTCATTTTAGTCAGAATTAACAGTATGAATTTATTAAAGAGGAAAATAAAAAAACTGAAAAGTTAAAACACAATATTTAGGGCCAGGTGAGCTAATAAATAATCACCATGCAAAATATAACTTGATGTAAGAATTAATAGTTGCATCCAAATTTCTGATCTGTTATGAGCCTCATGTTTTATTTTGAACAAAAGACCAGTGTTGGAGTGATAAGGCTAATTAACATTAGATTGTTATTTACTTGCTATACGGTTCATCCAGGGAGCATCCACACTGCCCACGTTATTCCTGATGAGTTTGAGCACGTTATCAAGGACAGTGTTCATCAACTCTCCAGTTACCGTGGTTACCTGAGTCAATCTGAAATATAATTTCAAAATATTTCTGATGTGTTTATTTCGGCATTTAACATATAATCAACTAATATACAACTGTTAAGTTAAGTTTGAAAGATTGAGCAGACACTTTATAACTATACTATTGTATTAAAACTACAATTATTCGAATAAATGACCTTTGAAATTAATGTAATATTAAGTTTTACTTACGAATCGATGGATTTTTGCCTTTCAACCAGCCAGAAAGGTAAGTAACTGAAATCAAGATACAAAATTTATACAACAATAATCATGTTAAAATTGTACATTTCTGGATTGGCATCACACACAAAGGAATCATGTAATTTGTAACTGTAAACAGAACCTTGACTCGTCAGGCAGTACACAATGGTCCAATATATCAATTTTAAGTTAACCAGTACAAACAAAATGAATTTGACCAGTACAAACAATGGTCTAATATATCAGTTTCAATATATCAATTTTAAATTGAACATAGTCCGAATTATTCTGACGTTTTATCGACTCTTTTCATATCGGTCTGTCGTCGATGAACGTCAGAACTCCGGCCCTCTATGATATGCGGGAAATATGCGCCTCGCGCCCGGAACGCACTTCAAACTGATATTTTAGAAACAAATCGTCACTTTCACACACATGTCGCACATGGATCGAAAGATCTATTCTTTATGCACTAGGTGGTATCAATAACATGTTTCAAAGATTATTACGAAAAGTATTTTCCAATGTTTTCTATACCAACCCATGTTTTTAATGGAAATTAGGCCATGAGCAATGTCACATGACTTGACGAGATCTCGCATTACCGAAGGTATTTCCCAACGTTATGACTTAGGCCGGCGAGATTTTAGTCACGTGGCATTAGAAGGCGGGGCTATAAAAAAACTAGAGTAAAACAGAGTAATTT